AAAAAAAAGAAGGCAGCACTTCCCTGCTGTGCTGTGGAATACTAGGTCTCGTTCGTTCCTAATAACTATGTTTTTAATCCATTAACCATCCCACCTCTCCAGCCCTCTACCATCCCAGCCTCTGGCAACCATCCTTTCCTTCTCTATCTCCACAGGTTCAATGAGTTTGATTTTTAGATCTCACAGGTAAGTGAGACTATATGCAATGTTTGTCTTTCTGTGCCTAACTTATTTCATTTAAAATGGTAACCTCCGGCTGGGCGTGGTGGCTCATGCCTATAATCCCAGCACCTTGGGAGGCCGAGGCGGGTGGATCACGAGGTCAAGAGATTGAGACCATCCTGGTCAATGTGGTGAAACCCTGTCTCTACTAAAAATACAAAAAATTAGCTGGGCATGGTGGCGCGTGCCTGTAATCCCAGCTACTCGGGAGGCTGAGGCAGGAGAATTGCTTGAACCCAGGAGGCGGAGGTTGCAGTGAGCCGAGATCGCACCATTGCACTCCAGCCTGGGTAACAACAGTGAAACTCCGTCTCAAAAAAAAAGGTAACCTTCCAGTTCTATCCATGTTGCTGCAAACGACTGAATCTTTTGGTTTTTTTTTTGAGACGGAGTTTCGCTGGTTACCCAGGCTGGAGTGCAATGGCACGATCTCGGCTCACCACAACCTCTGCCTCCTGGGTTCAAGCAGTTCTCCTGCCTCAGCCTCCTGTGAATCTTTTTTCGGCTGAATAGTACTCCTCTGTGTATCAGTACCACATTCTTTATCCATTCGTTTGCTAAAAGACACTTAGGATGCTTCCAAATCATGGCTATTGTGAACAGAGCTGCAGCCACCAGGGGAGTGCAGACGTCTCTTCAATATATTCATGTCCTTTCTTGTGGGTGTGTACGCAGTGGTGGGATCAATGGATTTGAGGGTGGTTCTGTTTAGCTTTCTAATGAACCTCTAAACTGTTCTCCATGGCGGGGTACTAATTTAGCTTCCTACCAACAGTGTATGAAGACTTCCTCTTCCTCACATCCTCACCTGCGTCTGTTACTGCCTGTCCTTTGGATAGAAACCATTTTCGCTGTGAAAGAAGATCTCTCACGGGAGTTTCTGATTTGTATTTCTCTGATGATCAGTGCTGCTGAGCACTTTTTCATATGCCTGTTTGCTATTTTTTTTTTTAAAAGACAGAATCTTGCTCTATTGCCAAGGCTGGAGCACAGTCTCGGTTTGATCTCTGCTCACTGCAACCTCTGCTTCCCAGGTTCAAGTGATACTGCTGCGTCTGCCACCCAAGTAGCTGGGATTACAGGTGTGCACCACACCATGCTCTGCTCATTTTGGCATTTTTAGTAGAGGCAGGGTTTCACCATGTTGGTCAGGTTGGTCTTGAACTCCTGACCTCAAGTGACCTGCCCTCCTCAGCCTCCCAGTGAACTGGGATTACAGGCAATAAACCATCACACCTGGCAGCTTTTTTTTTTTTTTTTTTTTTAATTTTTTGAGACAATGTCTTGCTCTGTTGCCCAGAGTGGAATGTAATGGCACGATCTTGGCTCACTGCAGCCTGGACCTCCCAGGCTCAAGCTATCTGCCCATCTCAGCCTCTCAAGTAGCTGGGAATACAGGAATGAACCACCACGCTTGGCTAATTTTTGCATATTTTTGCAGAGATGGGATTTCACCATGTTGCCTAGGCTGGTCTTAAACTCCTGGGCCCAAACAATCTGCCAGCCTTGGCCTCCAAAAGTGCTGAGCTTACAAGCATGACTCAACATGCCTGGCCTTGTTTTCCATTCGTATGACTTCCTTTGAGAAATGTGTACTGAAAGCTTTTGCCCATTTTAATATCTGATGTTTTCCTAAGAGTTGTTTGAGCTCCTTACTCTGGTTATGAATCCCCCCGTCAACGGGGCAGTTTGCAAACGTTTCTCCCATTCTGTGGGTTGTCTCTTCGCTTTGCTGACTGTCTCCTTTGTAACCTGATGCGGTCCCGTTTGTCCATTTTTGCTTTGGGTGCCAATGCTTGTGGGGTACTGCTCAAGAAATCTTTGCCCAGAACAATGTCCTGGAGGGTTTCTCCAAGTTTCTTCTTGTAGGAGTCTAATCACTGGAGCTCTTAGTTGTAATTCTTTAATCCACTTTGATTTTACTTTTGTATACGGCAGGAGACAGCGGTCTAGTTTTCTTCTTGCGCGTATGGATAGAGTTTCCCTAGCACCGTTTGTAGAAGAGACGTCTTTTCTCCAGCGTATGTTCTTGGCACCTGTGTCAAAAATGAGGGTGCTGCAGGTGTGTGGACTTGTTTCTGTGCCAGTTCTATGCTGTTTTGATCACCATAGCTCTGAAGCGTCATTTGAAGTCAGGTGAAGTCCTCCAGTTTTGTTCTTTTTGGTTAGGATAGCTTTGCCTATTCTGGGTCTTTTGTGGTTCCATATAAACTTCAGGATTTTTTTTTTTCTATCTCTGTGAAGAATGTCGTTGGCATTTTGGTAGAGACTACGCTGAATCTCTGGATTGCTTTGAGTAGTATGGGCATTTTAACAATATTGATTTTTTTTTTTTTTTTTCTGAGACAGAGTCTCACTCTGTTGCCAGTCTGGAGTGCAGTGGCGCAATCTCGGCTCACTGCAACCTCTGCCTCCCGGGTTCAAGCAATTCTCCTGCCTCAGCCTCCTAAGTAGCTGGGACTACAGGTGTGCGCCACCATGCCCAGATAGTTTTTGTATTTTTTAAGTAGAGATGGGGTTTCACCATGTTGGCCAGCATAGTCTTGATATTTTGACAACATGATCTGTCCGTCTCAGTCTCCCAAAGTGCTGGGATTACAGGCGTGAGCCACCGTGCCCAGCCAACAATACTGAGTCTTATAATCCACAAATGTAGAAAGCTTTCCATGTTTTGGTGTTCTTTTCAATTTCTTTCATCCACGTTTTATAGTTTTCATTGCAGAGATCTTTCACTTCTTTAATTAATTCCTAGGACTTTTTTATTTACGACTACTATATAGGGGACTACAATGTAGGTATTATTAATCTTACAATATAAAAACTAAGCCATAAAAATGAGTTTTAGACATGCCTATATGAATTAAAATGTCAAGTGTACCCAATAAGAATCCTATTTAAAAAAACCCACAATCTCACTAAAAAATATAAACAAAAGCCAGTTATTATGTCTTGGGGAATTTAAATGTAGCACTGGAAATCGCCAATTATGGAAGATCTTAAAGGTGAGATATACTACACGGTATGATACTGGCTAAACCTGTAGATTACATGCACTAAGGGATTTGTTTTATTATTTTTTTTTATTGAGACGGAGTCTTGCTCTGTCACCCAGACTGGAGTGCTTCGGTGCAATCCCAGCTCACAGCAACCTCCACCTCTGGAGTTCAAGCACTTCTCCTGCCTCAGCCTCCTGAGTAGCTGAGATTACAGGGGTGCACCACCACAACTGGCCACATTGGCCAGGCTGGCCTCGAACTCCCGACCTCAAGTGACCTGGCCACCTCGGCCTCCCAAAATGCTGGGATTACAGGCATGAGCCACCACGCCCAACCATCATTTCTTTATTAATTCTAAAACTCTTGGTGCAGTCCAGTGTGGTGCCTCATGCCTGTAATCCTAACACTTTGGGAGGCAGAGGCAGCCAGGTCACTTGAGGTCAGGAGTTTAAGACCAGTCTGGCCAATGTGGCGAAACACCATTTCTACTAAAACCACAAACATTAGCTGGGCATGGTGGAATGCCTGTAGTCCCAGCTACTCGGGAGGCTGAGGCAGGAGAATCGCTTGAACTTGGGAGGCAGAGGATGTGGTGAGCCAAGACTGCACCACTGTACTCCAACCTGGAGATAGAGTGAGACTCTCTCTCTCTCTCTCTCAAAAAAAAGAAAAAAAAGATCTTGGTAGGAATGAGGTGCATATAATAGGTACGTAAGGCCAGAATCTTTCAATTTTCCTAGCCAAAATTTTGTACTGCAAAACGTTATATTCAAAAAGCCAAATCTATACACTATGCTGTTTTATTAAAAAATTTAAAACACTCAACATACTTACTGAAATGGTAAACCCTGGCCTATCTTAAACTAGACCAAATGATTTATTATTACATGATTTATCAGGGTGAGCTTATAAATACAATTGTTATCTAAGAAAACATCTAAAGGCAGGCTGGGCGCAGTGGCTCACACCTGTAATCCCAGCACTTTGGAGGCCAAGGTGGGCGGATCATGAGGTCAGGAGTTCCAGACCAGCCTGGGCAATATGGTGAAACCCCATCTCCACTAAAATATAAAAAGTTAGCCGGGCGTGGTGACACGTGCCTGTAGTCGCAGCTTCTCGGGAGGCTGAGGTGGGAGAATTGCTTGAACTCAGGAGGCCGAGGTTGTAGTGAGCTGAGTTTATGCCACTGTGCTCCAGCCTGGGGGACAGAGCAAGACTCTGTCTTCCAAAATAAAAAGACAAAACAAAACAAAAGAAAGAACACATCTAATCTAAAGACAGTTTTCATCCTTGGCTTGCAGAACTAAAAACAGAAAAAAAGCCTCATCAGGCCAAGACCTGGATCTGAGAAACCTTTGTCCTAATAATATCAATTATGATGTTCTAGACGTGAAATGAGGCCGTAACTAAAAATAAAAAAAACTATGACTTTTCTTAAACATACCTCATTTGCGTTCCTAATTATATTCGTGAAACCAGCTCTCATCAATACCTTAATTTTTTTTTTCTATTTCACGTGTGGAACACAGAGACCAGAACAATAAGCCAGATTCTGACAGACACACTAAGATTGACCAATACTAGGGCTTCAGAAGGAATGTAAAGGCAATGAGGGTGGACAGAGGTGAATGAACATGTCAGAATACAACGCACAAGATACTTAAATAGAAACTGCCGGAAGCCACTCAGATGCATGGTGGACTTAGCTGGACCTGGCTTTGGCTACAGGATGGCTGGCCCACAGACACACGCCTCTCCAGACCATGCGGACACTGCACATACCTTCCACTGCCTTGACCTTCTCCTCCAACTCGCGTTTCCTCTCTTCCTTTAGCATCTGCTCTTGCTCCTTCTTCTGCACTGCTAGAAGAATCTGACGCTCCTCCTCCTCCTCTTTGCGCTTTTGTTTTTCTATTCTGGTCAGCACAGGAGTCTCCTGTGAGGAGCCAATGAGCACACCCTGTCAGTACACAGCCACGCAAGACCAGCTCTTCGGTCTTGGTGAAGATTTAATTCATTGAATACAATATATTCAACAACTAATACCAGCCATCTGCTGTGAGCTAGGGGCTTTGTATCACAACAAGCTGATTTTGCTACCGGGAGAACACGTTTGGACACATATAAACATTATAACGTAAGGGAGATTCAAAACAGGGTAAAGTTTTGCGTCCTACAATTTATATTATTTGTGGTATTTAGGTGATCATCTTACGGATAATTTACTGGAGAGGAGAGATTGGGGCAGTTCAGAGACAAGCATTTTTTTAGAGTTAATATCTGATAAAGTGAAGTTTTAAAAAGCACCTTATCTAAGGTTACTAGGACAAAAGACAGTCACTTGAGAGAACACAGTTCCTTTTTCTTTTTTTTTTTTGAGGCAGACAGAGTCTTGCTCTATCACCCAGGCTGGAGTGCAGTGGTGCAATCTTGGCTTACGGAAACCTCCCCTTCCCGGGTTCAAGCCATTCTCCCGCCTTAGCCTCCTGAGTAACTGAGATTACAGGTACCCGCCACCACGCCTAGCTAATTTTTGTATTTTTAGAAGAGATGAGGCTTCGCCATGTTGATCATGCTGGTCTCAAACTTTTGACCTCAGCCTCCCATACAGGTGTGAGCCACTGTGCTCAGCCCAGAACACGGTTTTTTAATTTCAATAATGTGCATGAATTAAAACTCTTAACTTTTATGCTTTACAAGTAAAACAATGAATAAAATTGGGGTTCTGATTGGAAGGGCCACTGTTTTGGCTTAAGGTGCAGAAAAGAGATGAAGGAGGCCACACAGAAATTCGTAACCTACCCAAAGATTGGCTAGCCTTTCCATGGGATTTTCAATTCGAACATTAATAAAGGTAAGTAATTGCTGGTGATATGATTACTTAAGAAATCTGAAAATAAAAAGGTAAGGCAAGCAAAGGAAAACAGGACTATTACCATCCTAATTTATGAAAGGGTTACAATGCTTATTTGCCACCCCCTTCCCCAGCCAACAAACGGGTTCTGAGCCACTCTGCAGCGCAGAATGGAAGTTGTTTTCCTCCCTTCCTTCCTTTCCCTTCTGCCCTGCTCTCCCGGAGCTGGGACTACAGGCACCTGCTACCATGCCAGGCTATTTTTTGTATTTTTAGTAGAGACAGGATTTCACCATATTAGCTAGGCTGGTCTTGAACTCCTGACCTCAGGTGATCCGCCTGGCTCATGCCTGCTGGAATTACAGGTGTGAGCCATCGCACCTGGTCAAAGTTGTTTGTTTTCAATTTCTTCCCTCATCTGTTGTGTTGATGTGAAAGCTGAAACTTTTTCCTTTTTTAAAAATTATTTTTGAAGAGGTAGTTAACTGGTTCGTGTAATAGACCACACGTGAAAGTTGGACAGATACAGAAAAATGAACCAGGTGCCAACAGAAGGAGAATTCACATTACCCTTATAGAAAAAATACTAATTATCACATTTTGGGTGAAACATAATAGAAAGGTAAAGCTTTAACAGATCTTTTCAGTAGGAAGAAGACCTAAAGATCTGTATCGGATACATTTTCAAGAATTTTTCTTTTTCTTTTTTTGAGATGGAGTCTCACTCTGTCACCCAGGCTGGAGTGCAATGGTGTGATCTCGGCTCACTCCAACCTCCCGCTCCTGGGATCAAGCAATTTTCCTGCCTCAGCTTCCCGAGTGGTTGGGATTATAGGTGCCCACCACCACGCCCAGCTAATTTTTATATTTGTAGTAGAGATGGGGTTTCATCATGTTGGTCGGGCTGGTCTCAAACTCCTGACCTCAGGTGATCTGCCTGCCTCAGCCTCCCAAAGTTCTGGGATTACAGGTGTCAGCCACTCACGTCCGGCCCCTTTTCTTTTTAAATAGATGGGATTTTGCTATGTTGGTCAGGCTGGTGTCGAACTCCTGGTCTCAAGCAATCCTCCCATCTCAGCCTCCTGAGTAGTGGGGATTACAGGTGTGAGCCACTGCAACCAGCAAAAGCTTTATACCGTGGAAGCTGAACTAGTGGCCATGATGCGGAGGAAAAGACGTGAATGCAGATAGTCACTTCTGTAAATTACCATTAAAGACAATCACTTATGTAAATTTACCATTAAAGACAGTCACTTATGTAAATTTCAATGCCCAATGTAAGAGCACTGAAAATGCCCTTATTAAAATTTTGTCAGGTGTGGTGGCTCACACCTCCAATCCCAGCACTTTGGGAGGGTGAGGCGGGTGGATCACTCAAGTCGGAATTCAAGACTAGCCTGACCAACATGGAGAAACCCCAAAACTAAGAAAAGTACAAAATTAGCTGGGCGTTGTGGTGTGTGCCTGTAATCCCAGCTACCTGGGAGCCGGAGGCAGGAGACTTGCTTGATTCCAGGAGGCAGAGGTTGCGGTAAGCCGAGATCATGTCATTGTACTACAGCATGGGCAAGAAAAGAAAAAAAAAAAAAGGAGGAAAGAAAAGAAAATGCTCGATTAAAATTTTATATTGTTTTCTTTATGTTTTTTTTCCTTGCTCCCTGTGGAATTCACATTTTTATGGTTCTTAAAACCAATTTAGGATAAGGGTGGTAGCTCACCTCAGCACTCCCAATACTCTTGGGAGGCCAATGCAGGAGGATTGCTTGAGGTCAGGAATTCAAGACCAGCTTGGACAACAAAGTAAAACCCCGTCACCCCATGTCCACAAAAACAAAAACACAAATTAGCCAGGGCTGGTAGTGCGCACCTGTAGTCCCACCTACATTACAGGGGTGGCTCAGGCAGAAGGATCTCGAGCTCAGGCTGCAGTGGGCTTGGGAGTGCACCACTACACTCCAGCCTGGAGGAGAGACCCTATCTCGAAAACACAAAAGAAAGCAAAACAGGGGCCAGGTGCGGTGGCTCACGCCTGTAATCCCAGCACTGTGGGAGGCCGAGGTGGGTGGATCACGAGGTCAAGAGATCGAGACCATCCTGGTCAACATGGTGAAACCCCGTCTCTACTAAAAACACAAAAATTAGCTGGTCATGGTGGTGCCCGCCTGTAGTCCCAGCTACTCGGGAGGCTGAGGCAGGAGTGAGCTGAGATCGCGCCACTGCACTCCAGCCTGGGTAACAAGAGCAAAATTCCGTCTCAAAAAAAAAAAAAAAAAAAAAAAAAAAAAAAAAAAAAAAAGAAAGAAAGAAAGAAAAAACAAAATACGTTTTCTTTAGGATTTAGATTTAAATTCAGATTCTCACTTGACTCCAAATTTAGAGATGGCCTTGCCTAGATAGACTTTTTTTAAGATGGAGTCTTGCTTTGTCACCAAAGCTGGAGTGCAGTGGCATGATCTCGGCTCACTGCAGCATCTGCCTCCCAGTTTCAAGTGATTCTCCTGCCTCAGCCTCCCAAGTAGCTGGGATTACGGGAGCCTGCTACCACACCTGGCTAATTTTTGTGTTTTTAGTAGAGATGAGGTTCACCATGTTGACCAGGCTGGACTTGAACTCCTGACCTCACATGATCCTCCCACCTCTGCCACCTGAAGTGCTGGGATTACAGGCGTGAGCTACCATGCCTTCTCAATGTCATTTTTACCATTCAAAAATCTATGAGCCTGACTTTTTAGAAGAGTTTACAAGGTAAAAACATGGAATGAACAGAGGAGAGATAAAAATGAGAAATCAACTGTATACGTAACACTGTACCCATAACATGCCTCAGTATAACAAACAGAATTAAATAATTATTCCCTAAAATCTTTACCCTATAACCAGAGCAGGCCAGCTTCAATATGATGGATGTTGATTCTGAAAAGGGGACGTTATGGACACCTGGTGAGGACTGTCCTGAAGACTGCATCTCTGGCCACTGGTTCAAGCACCTTCCCTCAAGTTTGCCTAATTCCTACTCTCACTTCCACCCCACTTCCCAGGTTCTTAACTGTTCCAGCAACATCTTTACCCAGCTGGGATGTAACGAAACTGTAGTTAACAACCATTTGCCTTTGCTCTTTTCAGACGTATATTGATGCCAAAAACACACCGTAAGGCATCAGTGGACTAAGAGGGGAAGGGGAAAGGGAGGAGGTGAGAAAACTGAGCCATGTTAAAGGAAAGATTTCATTAAAAGAGAACTGTGATGCTTTCTATCTGTCGGACCCAAAAGTGAGAGGAAACAGGTATATATAGCAAACTTGAAAGTTATTTCCATAATTACTACGTGTCTTCTGGCCACCTCCCACCCATCCCGACCCGAAACAAAAGACAGTAGGTGTAAACCTGTGAAATATTCTTGTTTCATCAGTACAGGGCCCATTAAATAGGATCAGCAACTTTTTTTTTTTTTTTTTTTGAGACGGGAGTCTAGGCTCTGTTGCCAGGCTGGAGTTCAATGGCGCGATCTCAGCTCACCGCAACCTCTGCCTCCTGGGTTCAAGTGATTCTCCTTCCTCAGCGTCCCAAGTAGCTGAGAATACAGTCATGTGCCACCACGCCCAGCTAATTTTTGTATTTTTAGTAGAGGTGGGGTTTCACCACATTGGCCAGGATGGCCTCGAACTCCTGACCTTGTGATCTGCCCACCTCAGCTGCCCAAAGTGTTGGGATTGCAGGAGAGTCACTGTGCTCAGCAGGATTAGCATTTTAATAAGGACTGAGCAAATGCAAGGCAAACACTTATGAAACTGTGACATTAAGTCACTTGCTAATCTAAACAAACACAGGAAGTGTTCATGTGTTAAGTCAGTGGAAAAAGAAAACACAGGGGAAAAAAAAACAATAACCCACATCTTACAAATACAAAATTCTTCGTGATGAGTTAGACTTATTCTTAATATGTAGTATCTTACCGTCAGTTAACCGTGCTCCCAAGCAAATGGAACACGAACGTGAGACTCACAAACGATATATAAAGTACACGGGGGAACTTTTCAGATGCTCGGTGTGAGGTGGAGGAGCAGGGGCTGCACGCCGCCACG